AATTCTGAGTCTCTAGTATCATGCCTGGTACTCTTTCCTGAAGAAGAAAATACCAGATCTTGTGATGATCTGATACATCAGTTAGCACTGGAATGGAATATATAAATTTAAACATTATATTTCAAATGATCTAATCTATAGATAATCCTAACATCCTGTATAATGTTTGATTTTCCTGTAGTTTGGAAGGGTTCCCCTCCCCCCCCCCCCCCACTATACGTGGGATTGCAAACAGTAAAAAACATCAACACATGGGGCTGGGGTTGTAGCTCAGTGATAGAGTGCTTGCCTTGCATGCGTGAGGTACTGGGTTCGATCCTCAGTACCATATAAAAATAAATAAAATAAAGATATTGTGTCCATCCGCAACTAAAAAAGTATCTTAAAAAAAAAAACCACCAAAAACGTCAACACATTTTCTCCAAGTTTGGTCTTATTCCTTTTTATTTTTTTAAACAGAAAAATACACCTTAATTCTATTGATTTTTGTCCTATATAATTTATGACAAACAACTGATTAAAAGAAATTTTTGAATTTGATATTCTGAGCCTAATATATTGTGTAAAGGGAAGAGACATAAAACACGTCTCCTCGAAGATATACACTCCTTAATGACCTCTTAGCTAACAGAAGCATTTATGTGTTGCAGATCTTCCAAGCATGAGAATAAGGACCTAGCACTTTGTCTAGCAGCCAGTAAGAGCTGCTATTTATTGGGTGACTTCTCTGGCTAAAGGACTTCTCCAACTTCTGTAAATGGTAGAAGAAAGAATCAGATCTTGTGATGATCTGATACATGAGTTAGCAGTGGAATGGAATTTTGTGACTTTTGTGAGACTGAGGGCCTGCTAAACTGCTGGTTTAGCAGGCCCTCAGTGTCATCCTGTTGCACTACATTTTAGTATCTATCAATGGTTTCTGACTACCTCTTTAGCATTCCTTTTTACTATCCTTAGCCCTCTCATATATATTTCCTTTGTTGGAGGGCTCATGCAGGTCTTGACCGCTAGGCTCGTGGAGGATTCTCCAACCTGCTTTGGTTTTATTCCATTTAGATTGGCTATATAGTCTTCCAGCTCCGTTGTCTTATCATCATGATTAATATGATAACTATCTTAATATTCAATCTAGCTTTCTCCGCTGATTTACCTGTCTTTATGAATAGTCCTGATTTACCTGTCTTTATGAATAGTATAATCATTCTCTTAATTAGTCACACAGTGTTTTCTTTTTTATCCTCTATAGGGTCAAACCAATCCGCAAATTTACTGATTCACTCTTTGTTAAGTTTCTTATGCCTATCAGTCTATTTATTGATGTAGTTGTGGCTCAAGCTCTCACCACCTCATTCCCTGACCTGTCTCCTTACTGGTTTCCATCCTAGAAAATATCTTAAAACTGTTTCAATCTGACTCTCTTTGGAAATAAAAGGCACCTCAGAGATTTTTATAATCTTCCTTGAACTCTAATTTAATATCCAAGAAACATTACTTTATGCATATCCCTCCAGATCAAAAGATCTCAACTCAACTTTATTTCCTGAAGTTAATAAAAAAAGTTATTAACAAAGAGCTGTTTGAAATTGTTACTACTTCTCATTAGTTCTACAGAATAAAATCAACATTTGTTTACCTGTTACTTACCTGATAATCCAAATGTGTTCACAGTTCATTTGTATGTTTCTACATTTTTATAGAAATTCTATTCAAGCCAATATGTTTTTAGCATTTACTAACCATGCCATTTCACATCACTATAAATTTAGATAAACCTTAGAGATGCTTTCAAGTCCAGACCAAAATTATCTCATGAGGCTTTCCTATCCTTTCTCAGTCTAGAATGATCTATATTACCACATACTTGGGTTGAATTTTTCCTGTGGCATTAATTTCATAATTAACAATGAAATACAGTCTTTTTTTTCCTCCTATATATATCCGGCCCTCCCTCCCGTCCTCCCTCCTTCCCTGCCTCCCTCTCTCCTACCCAGCCACACTCACTTTCTCTCTTTCTCTCTTATTCTAGAGATTAAACTCAAGAGCCTTGACAACTGAACTACATTCCCAATCCTTTTTATTTTGAGACAGGGTCTTGCTAAGTTACTTAGGGCCTCACTCAGTTGCTGAGGCTGACCTCGAATTTCAAATCCTTTTGCCTCAGCTTCTTGAATTTTATTTTTGTACATATTTGTCTTTTATCTTCCCAAATAGATTATAAATTTCTTGAGATCTTATTTGGAGATTCTAGCAGAGGAGCACAGCTATTCATATACTCTTGACCAAAGAATGATCCTCCTTTATGGGGGAAGGTCATCCTCTTCGACAGTGCGTGCAACTTTGGAAGGGACACACATGGAGAAGTGAGGGAGGAAGAGGTCACCTGCCTAGCCAGCCAGATAAGCCAAATCAATTCTGGCCATCCACCGAGGTGACAGAAGACACAGCTAGATTGCCTTCACATCTTAGATTATAAATTCTTAAAGGCAAGGACCTTAACTTAAAAATCTCAGCTTCCTTGCATGGTGTTCAGTAGAATATTTAAAGCATAATAGAGGCCCAATTTTTGTAATCTTACTTACAGGAGTTGATGACCTTGAGAAAATACACAACTTTTTCTAAGGGAGTTGTTAATGGAAATCAGAAGATAGAAACAATTTAACATGAGTTTAGAAAATCTCTTATAAAAATTCTAACATTTAAAAATTTATAGGATAATAAATACCTATTTTGGTTTCTTTATTACCACTCTTGACTATTACTCTTCTGTAATTTACTACTTTACTATTAATGTAACAACAGAAAATAGCGAAAACAGGGAGTAAAAGTAAGATAACCCACTGTTTATATACCCCCCCTTTTTTAAAAAAGACAAGTAATCTTGAAATCATTGTTTGAATGGAAATACTTGGAATACTCTTCTTTGATCCAGGCTTCTTCCTGTCACCTATATCATTTATTCAAACATGTGAATTTCTGAAATCATGTTGACTTCTTGGCTGTCAGTCACTTCCCTCATGTTGTTTCAAAGGGAGTGGGTGTAGTAGAAGATGAAGGGCAGAATGCAATTCACAGATGTATTCAAACATATACTTTTCATAGGAAAATGCATATTTCAATATATTAATATTCATAACCTTATTCAATGCCATCTGCTTTTTTGGACTCATTAGTAGTATTTTTGGCAATCTCCGACTAAAAACACACCTTTAAAAGGCATTGTCAAGTAGTTATTAAAGGTTTACTGATACATAAAGTTGTTGAAAAGAGGGAAGAAATATTTAGGTTTTTTTACTTTGACTATATCCTATGTTCTGCATGTCTTAATACTAATATGTAAATGTCCACATTTATGATTATCAAAACAAAAAATTTAAATTGAACCTACTCATAATTTTTGTTACAAGCAGAACACTTTATGATATAAACACAATCATAATACATACAAGTTTATTTTGTAGGTTTTTAACTAGGGGATTAGGGGGTCAAGGAGGTCTGTGAAATCCTAGAGAATTATATAGTACATATATGCTTTTTATTTTTTCATAGAGGATCACTCTCAAAGGCATCTGTTATTAATACAGCTAACCAAATTAATCAGTAAACTTTAAAAACAATAATTTCATTGTTTTATTGACTATTTTCAATAAAAACCATAAACCAGGCTCAAGAAATTTACTCCAAACTAAAGTAATACTCAATGAAATAAAGCTAAAATACAGTTCATCATTTTCATCCTATGGAAATATCCACTATATAACATTGTCAAACCTCCTGCTTTAGCTGCCTTGTTCAGTAGTTCAGTGTATTTCCATGACACTGAACATCAAATCGATTTAATCATTCAAGTAGCAGCAACAAAAGATAGGTAAATCCAATAAAAAGATTAAAATTTCTTATACTCTTGCTATGAGCTTGACTCATACTGTGTTATTTACAATAGACTTGAAGGTGGATATCATTGTCATTCTCATAATATAAGTGAGGAAACTGAGGTCTCTGGGATGGTGACATGTCTTTATGTTTTGAGGAACAGGCTGTGGTGTTTGTTAGCAAACTGAAGGAACAACAGGATGAGAGTGAGCTAGGGACACTTTTTAGGTGGTGGTCATGTAGAAGTCTTTCCCATATAATACAAAAATCCTTTTACAGTAACTCTAACAAATGATGAAAGGAATCATATGTTTCAGAAGTTCCCAATCAATGTGAACTTGATTAACTAACTACATAGAATCTTATGAAACCTGAAATCTTAGAAATTGTTATTCCTTAGAATTAATATGTAACTAAAAGTGTTTTTAAATATTCAAGTTTTAATAGTTCAGGTTAACTTAATTTTGTTTGTTTCATATTATGGATATAGAGGTTGAATATCTATAAACTGAAAATCTGAAATGTTCCACAATCTGAAACTTCTTGAGTGCCAACATGATGCCACAAGTAGAAAATTCCACACATGAATTCATGTCATGGGTTGGCATCAAAATGCAGGCACACTAGTTACATTCTATAAAATTATTTCTAGGCTATATACATGAGGTATATATGAAATAGAAATGAACTTTATTTTCACTGAGGCCCCATTCTCAAGATATGTCATTATGCATGTGTAAATATTCTAAAATATGAAAAAATCCAAAAATATGAAACACTCCTTGTCCTAAGCATTTGGAGTAAGGAATACTCAAATGTATATATGAAAATTCATAATTCCTATTTCTAATTATAGTAATTTCTAATTATTATTCAGAAAAGTTTCAGTATATTTTCTTGTTTTGCATGTCATTCCTATAAAGAAGATCAAGTTCAAACTATTTTAAAAACATATAAGCCAAAAATTCCTCATTATCAAGGAAGTAACCATATGCCATATTGTACTTTAGAATAGGTATCTTTTAAATCTACAATAGTTCTAGAAAAAACTGAAGTTATTTGCTGTTATAAGGAATAACATGACTAAGTCAGAAATAGGGGGAAAATCTGAAAGGCAAAAACAATCTTACCAAAGTCTGCGAATGCTGACTGTCCAACTACCATCATATTTTGAGGTTTTGTAAGTATACTATGGACAGAGAAGTTCCCACCCTGTGAAAGTCAGAAAACTTTGAATTAGATCATCATAATACACTCAACTGTCAAGGGTGAAACAAAGCATTTTAAATTAAAGCATCGAAAAAAGCTAAGACTTCTGTCATATTACACTAAAATCAATCAACAATCTCCTGTCCACTTTTATCACTTATTACGAAACAAAAGAACCATTATAAGAAAGTATGAATCTGGATTACTTTTTTTTGCTATCAATTCTGGTATAATACCCTTTACCAAATCATCATCATAATTTCAAACATAATGAGTGTATTCTGTGGAAGGCAATAAAAATATATATAAGCATAAAACTACCAGTTAGGAGACTGATGTAAGTCAGATAAAGAATTTCTAAAGGTAACATAGTGGTAGAAGGAAACAGGAAATTTTAAAATCTATTTTACACAATGTATGGTAATAAAATTCAGTCAGCTATATTTAAGAAAAGCTGTTCAGATGAGAGAAGAATTCTATTGATCCATAATGGGCCAATCCAAGATCAACTTAAGTTTATGTAATAATGAAAAGTATTACAACACCTGACATTGTACTATGTTGAGTCACCTATAGTAAACAGAACTCACTAGAGACCCTTTGTTTCAATGACTTTTTCCAAAATGAAATGGTACACATCTGACTTCCAAACATAATATGCATTAAAAATTGTTTCCTGGGGTTGGGGTTGTGACTCAGCAGTAGAATGCTTGCCTAGCACATGAGAGGCGCTGGGTTCGATCCTCAGCACCACATAGAAATAAATAAATAAATAAAATAAACTTATTGTGTCCAAATACAACTAAAAAAGAATATTTAAAAAATTGTTTCCTTTCCCTTCTATTGTTTTGTTTTTAACAAAACATTGAATTTGGAATTCTGAGCTCCCGTTTTTTTTTCCCCCTGCCTTTAGGTACTAGGATTGAACTTCGGGGTGCTTTATTATGGAGCTATATCACCAGGCCTTTTTTTACTTTTATTTTCAAATTTTGAGACAGGGTCTCACTAAGTTCTAGAGTCTGGCCTCAAACTTGCAATCCTGCTACCTCAGCCTTCTCAGCTGCTTGAGTACCAAGGTGCCTGATTGAGCTCTTAATTTTATAAAGAGTTCTCTTACCACTAAAAATCTCCATTCACTGATATATTGACTTTGATTTCTAAATCGTACATAGGATGTCTAAATATTTGAAAGTTTTTCCTTCTTTATTCCTCTAAGGATATTATAAATCTGAAAGTCAGTTTGTTAAGAAATCATTTCTGACCTTTACAGAGAAAGATACTGGTATAATGAAAACATGAAAATCAAATGCTTGAGCAGAAGGAATAAGATTTGTCCTGTGCCAGGCAATTTTCCAATTATTTTAACACCCCATTATCAATATACAGAAACATGTTTATCCCACCTTTATCTAAATATCTACTATACTTTTAAAATGATTTTTCTGTAGACATTTTATTTACAGAGGTGTATAAACTTCAGGTTTCCCCTTTAGTTCTTACTACATCCTAAGACTGCATTAGGGATATTGTGTTAAAGTTGCTAAATTTCTTTCTTTCTTTTTCTATTTTAGAGAGAGAGAGGGGTGGGGAGAGGGGGAGGGAGGGAGGGAGAGGGGGAGGGAGGGAGGGAGAGAGAGATTTTTAAAAAATATTTTTTAGTTTTCAGTGGACACAACATCTTTATTTTATTTTTATGTGGTGCTGAGGATCGAACCCAGAGCCCTGCACGTGCCAGGTGAGCGCGTTATCGTTTGAGCCACATCCCTAGCCCAAAAGTTGCTAAATTTCTGACTGGTGTATTAATTGCTCTTGCATTTTAGAAAGATGACAGTACTGTGTGGATACAATATTTCTTGAAAGGCTGAAAACAACTCTCTTAAAAAAAATTAGCATTATATGAGATATGAATATCAATTGAATATATTGATAAGTGAATGAATTACTCCAGTGAAGGTCTGTGAAATTTTGTGAGTATATCCTCATGATTCATCTCTATTGAGAAACATTGACAATTATCAAGTAATAGGATCTTATGTCTAACATGCCATATTCGCAGTGAGCATTGATATAAGAAAAGCAATACTTGTTTTTAATTAATGGAGAAAGAGAACACATACTGTCCAAAGTTAAGTATATGCAGAACACATTATATATTGACATAATTGGGGGAAAGACAATAATTTAATTTAGATGAATTTTCTATCACAACCACTATTTTTCTTCATTCCAGTTGCCAGTGAAAATCTATAACTGAATCCATTCAGATTAGTGTCATTTACATATTTATTATTTGATGAAAATGATTTAATAAACTGCTTCATCCATATGTTATTGCCCTCATTAGATAACACATTTCAAAGTGGAGCATGACTATACTTAATCAAAGGTGAAACTGCCATAGCTATTTAATGTAGAAGACAAACATGAGGTTTATTTTTCATTCTGAACCTATATTGAAAACAGAATAGTATGGTCGAAAGAGCATTAGACTTGAGTTTAGATGATATGGGTTCCAGTCTTGCTTTCATTGATAAGTTATTATAACACTCTGGGATAGACATTTACTAATCTCCGTTTTGTTTCCTCATTATCAGAATGGGATATATGTGCTGTCTAATTGCAGGACTCTGGAAAGGGCCAAATTAACAACAGAAAAGGAAGCATTAAAAAATATATCACACAACCGGAAGTTATTTTTATAATAGCAGTCCTATACTTATGATCTGACAGAAATTTTTTTCATGGACTCACCTACTCTGTGGTTTGCCTCATTCTTTGCTATGGTGTTCCCACTGGCCTTTACTGCAGTCCAAAATTGGGCCAACTCACTAGCGGTTCTCCTAAAGCTATATCCTTATTTTTTTCTTTTGTCTATTTAGTTTCTGAAATTATTATGCAACAATTTCAGGATAGATGTTTTAGAGACACATTTCCTACTTCAACTCCTAGTTCTACTCCTTGTTAGACTTGAGGCCTGAAAAAGTTCATTCTTCTATAAGCATCAGTTGACTTAACTCCTCAATGTGTTTTTACAAGTTTTCTCCCTACCATCTCAGGGGACAAATGATATCATCCATCTAAAGTTGCTATCATACAAAATGTATTTAGTTAACATAAACTGATATTAGTAGTGGAAATATTCTGCTACCATAACTGCCACCACCACTGAAGAAGCTAACCCATTGCTGTTGATAAGAAACACATTCTGCCATTTTCAGCTTGCATTCAAACCATAAGTGCTATGCTGTAACAAGTATCCTTTTCATTGATGACTGTTAGTGTTCTGGCCTGAATATTTTAGCATTTAGTGTTAAAACTGCTATATTCATAATATTAAAAAATGATCAGGAAGCAAAATGTATTAACTACTATGTAATCCTATCTTTATTCACGTAAAACAGTGGTTCTCAACCGGTGTGATTTTACCTCCACCTCCCTCTCTGAAAAACATTTGTCAATGTCTGCAGATATTTTTTATTGTTACAACTGGGGAAGGCTATTAGCATCTAGTGAGTAGAAGCCAGGGATACTACTAGACAACCTACAATGTAAAGGCTACCTTTCCATGACAAAGTAGCAATAATGTCAAAGTTGAAAAATTCTGAACATAACAGATGTTAAAGAGTCTGGCTTTGCCATTCTTCTTAATTCTTTTCCTATGACACTTATCTACATTTTTCCTTGAATTTCATTTTCACATTTTGAACTACTTGCTTGACATGTTTCTATTCTAAAATATTTGTTCCTACCCCAAATTAGACACTTCTTTTACTTTTTATATTTTTATAAGTCATCAGAACAAAACACAAGTTATCATTGTGTTATTGGTCATCCTTTCTTCTCCTATCTGTCCTTTCTTCACCATTCCCAACACTTTAATCACTCACTTCTTTCCCAGGTTATTGTGAATCCCACCTGAGTTATCTCCCTACCTCCAGACATTCCATGACAACTGATTTGATATGAAGTTTCAAGGTTAATTGAAATAGTGAAAGCTCCATTTATCTGACCCTCAGTCTTAAATTATTTAATAGTTTCTTAAAAGACCAAATTACTTAGTTTAGAAATTGGGCTTTTAATGTTTTGTTTAAATAAATTTTTCTAATCTTACCTTCCAACATCTCTTTCATATTGAGGCCCAAACCAGCCACTTGCTACTCTCTGAATGTATCCCATGTTTCCTGTGCACTTTCTTGCCTATCTCTTCCTCTTTCTTTCTTATTTCCCGTCACTAAAATCCTATTCCTTTGTACTAGCCATTGCAAACGCCATATCCTTCTTGAAGTCTTCACTAATAATCCTGGGGAGGTCAGAAGGACATCCCTTCTGTGTTACTCCTATAGAATGAGGTTTGTACTTCTTATACCAGTCTTTATACTCATATCTCATAAGCTCTGTTTACTTCTGTGTCTTCCAGAACAGCAGTACCATGTGGTTTTACACACAGCTGATACTCTACAAGAGATTTCTTGTAGCTCTTAAACTTCTACTAATCAATATAATTTTATAGGTTTGAGTTCTTTTTGGTCAGTTGGAATGCTATTGTACAGAGTTTGACCAGTTTCTCATTAAAAATGGTCATTTAAGATCTTTACTGACTTGATTATTGTTAATTGGGGTACTGACATAGATTCTATCTTTGCCCCAACTTTTGATAAGCTCTTCTGAGATCTATTTTCAGCCCAAACTTAGGCTTCCATCTCTATCCTTGTAAACTTTAGTTTTAGCAAGGATGCTACTAAGTCAATTTAGTTAGAATACCCTAGTTAAAAATCTAATCATTCTGGCCTATTTTCAGCCAGAATTCTGTTAGGGGAGTTTAGCAAAGAAATTATGCTACTCTCACAAAAATTTGTAATCTCTGCTCCTGGGATAGAAAGTGTTTTTGTTGTTGTTGTTGTTGTATTTGTAAATGCAAAACCCCATTATAAGCAGTCCTCTTGAATAAAATCTCCCTTTCCATCTTCAACAAGCATCTGAATAATATTTTCCTTAACAATATTCATTGACTCAGACACACTACAGAAAGAACAATTCTTAGTCCTATTATCCATATCCAATTTATTAATTTTCTTTAAAAACAATATTAAAGGAAAAAAATGTCCCAATCAAAATGTATTCACTACATGAAGATTGTTTTCCTAATGAGTTGCTTCACTTGATTACCTTTAAGATGAGTCTAGGCTGAAATTTTAAATCAGATGTCTAAAAGTGCTTCATAATTTTATATACATATTCTACTTATTTATATCGAGGCCCTTCCCCCCAGATACAAATTAATTAAATACATATCTCACTTTCTAATATCTCAAGATTCATTTGAAGTAGAAATGAAAGACCATCTGTAAACAAATATCCCCCAGCAGAGGAGTCTTAATGTAACAATCATGAAGAAAATAATAATCATATTTCTATAATCAGAAACACAAATATAAGTACATTTTTTAAAAGTAGTACACTAAATAAAGACAACCTTTTTAGGTTTAGATGTCTTTCTCACATTTCCTTGCCATGTTTAAAATAAAAAAAGGATCAATTACTTAGTTTAGAAGCAGTTAGAAGTTCTGATCTTGTCTAAATAAATTTCAAATCCCATCTTGGTTTCTGCCCATGAAGAAATGTAAGTTATGACCAACCCCACTGACCAGGCTCTAAGAGATGGCTAATGATCAATCTCCTTCCACAGTCTATGTTTTATCTTTGTTGGAACTGATTATTTTTATCAGCGTTTTCATAAAACCTATGAGTTTAATTTGGATGAAATAAATGATAATCAGGAGTAATTACGTGAGAAATTAAGAGATCTAAAACTAAAATTTGATTAGTGACTACTGTGTGCTGGGTACTTTACATATACTTACACATTTACATACTACATGTTTCATTTATTTTCACAAACATTTTATGAAGCAGATTTTTCCATAGAACAAAGGAAGGTATCATACTTGACCAATATGTGACAAATGTCACTGAGTTAGCCCATTTTAATTGGCCTTAAATCCTGTCTTCTATTGTGCAGTCTAAAATCAAATGTTAAGATTTTGGTGAATAAATAAAATAAATAAAATCACGCCACATCAGTTTAGGAATATTTAATCTACATCAAACTAAAAATAAAATCACGCCACATCAGATTGGGAATCTTTCATTGACAATTTAAAAAAGCAAAAACCTACTGGAAAAGACTCCTTAATCCTACCCAACTTAGCAGTAAGTTTAGTGTCTGTTGTTCTTATTTCTTTATATAAAGCCTAAAGGCAAAGAGGAAAAATAAGTCTTTTAAAAAGGATTTTCTTCATAAACCACCATGCTGAAAAATTAAATGACAGTAACTTCTTTCAACAGCTGACAGCGTAGCAGGGGTCCTGTTAACATGCACATTAGGATAGACTGATTGGTTTAATTGGCAGTCATGCCTAAAAACCTGCAGAGGAACTGATGCTGAATGAATCATTTCCTTCAGTAATATTCAGCAGTTTGAATGCAGCAATGCAACCAAAAGGCTCTTAAAGTTGTTCTATTTATTGTTGAAACCAACCCAACCAAGTGATTACTTTGATTTTATTTTCTAAATTGTGTGCCTTTACTGAAAACCATCATTTAAAAATGCTTCAAAGAAAAGATTTCTTACCAAATTTTCCCATATCTCAAACTGGAAGGAACTAGAGGCAGACAATGTTGTGAGGAATAAATCTAGAAGAAAAATAATACAAATGTAAATTTCTGCAGTTATACTGATGTGTACATTTGAAGGCAGGAACAAATGAATGCAATTATTAATGCAATTCTACAGAAACATATTTTAAAAAGTTTGATTCTCTAAAGAAAAAAGGAGAGAGAAGAGCGGGGTGGGTAAGAAGATGATGACCTTGTATTAGTACAATTAAGGGAAATGTATTTAAAAGAAGATTTTGGTATTGGTCCTTCAAAATTTTTTTTTATTTTAAAAATAATTATTTGTAGTGTGTGTGTGTTTGTGTGTGTGTGTGCAAGAGTGCGTGTGTGGTGCTGGATATTTAACTCAGGGTCTCAATGCTAGGCAAGTGTTCTATCACTGAACTACATCCTTAGCCTCACAAAATATATATTTTAAATAATCTTTCTTGTTTTCCAGAGTATGAGGTGATATTATGATCATAATCACATTTTACATTTGTACCCTAAAAGCAACACTTCTCTATGTCATAGGCAGGTTTCAGCATCATTTTAAATAGGCATCTCAGCATCCAGAATTTTTTGTACTCATACTAAATGAGCAATATGTTATTCCAAATTTTAAGTATTAGAAAAATTGTCTTCATGAATTCCAAGTAAAGAAAGTATGGTTTATTGGAAAGTGTAAGAATTTCAATAAAACATCTTTAAAAAACAAGGTTGACAGTAGAATCAAATATCCTAATGCAAAGACCAGTTGTTCCCTACATCGATTCTAGTATTGTCATTTAGTATAATGTTTGCATAATGGCAATTAGTGATCATTAAAGGTTTTAAACTTATGAAGGGACTCACAACCATATTATAATGACATAACTTTTTTATGATTTAAATAATGGGGCTGTGGATATGGCTCAGTGATAGAGCACTTGTCTAGCATGTGAGGCACTGTGTTCAATTCTCAGCACCACATAAAAATGAATAAACACAGGTATTGTGTCCATTAACTACCAAAAAATAAAAAAAAAATCCATTTTAAAAAATGGATTTAAATGACTTCTTAATCATTCATAGTAATGTAAAGACCATGACTATTCCAAATTTATTTTCCTTACATTAAGTATGCTTAGTAAAACTGATTCACATTTTAATGTTCTGTGTAATGTTTTATACAAATTTATGAAGTTAATTTATGTTATTATAATTATGAAGATGTACATAGAATCCCCCAAAAGCTAAGTAATTTTTTCATTTTTATAATTAATAAACTTGGAAACTCCCAATTCCAGAGACAATCATTCTTATGTGCTCATATCAAATATCTCTGCATTCATTTCCACTACTCTGGGTATGCTCTGCTTTTGGATACAGAATCATAGTCTTTATTATAAAGATGACAGGTTTCATTAGTGTCATACATGTACTCCCAATGAAATGATTACTTCCTTATTCATCTCGGAAAATCTCAAGTATAATCTGAGACTTGTAAGATGATATACCTATACCAGTTCCTCTCATTCTAAAGATTCTCCACATTGCCCTCAAATTATTTACAAGCAAAAGAACGAATTAGATCAGTTATTTTCTTCAAGACTAGGGCAGCAAACCCTTCATACTGTGTGTCAGATGAAGGCTATGTTATCTATGTTTACAGGCACATTTCCTATTACTCCTCTACAAGAAGGGTGTATTCCAGATAGAACATAGTTGTCACTAGATTTTATCATATTCTTTCACATATATTTGCCTCTGTACATGCCATTCCTTTTTTTCCATATTGCCCTTCTACCTCATAGCCACCCTGTGAATTAATTATTTAAAGTAGGCTTAAATGTCCCCTTCTTTTTGCAGACCTTAACTCTCCCTAGGCATATCCCAATTGTTATTCCATTGTGGTGCCTCCCATCACTGTGATGATTATTATAATGTACTATGACATTCTGGCTTCACATTTGTCCTTCTGTAGCTTCTTGAGGCTACAAGTTTTGTTTAATTGATTTTTATATGTTTGTAGCTTCTCTGTGGTTGGAAGTAGTATGTGTTCAAGTGATTATAGAATAACTAAGAGAGGCAATATTTTATTTATATATAAATATATAAATATATATATAAATATCTATATATATTTGGTGCAGGTCACACAAATTTGCTTGAAAAAAGGAGGGCTCTGTGTTAAATAATTTTATTAAAAATAAGTATGACTGAACATAGGAACTATTGATGAAATAATGTTTAAAAGCTATTATAGATTTTTCAATTATCTAAAAATGTAGATAGTTAGCATAAGAAAGTGATTAGGGATTAACAGTCCAGAGATTTTTTTTAGTGGTTCTCAGAATCACTAAGGAAGTCATGTCAATGCAAGCCCTGAGCTATCTGTAAGTAAAACCCAGACAGGGGCAATTACTTTGTTCTATAATAATTCAACACAGGCTGCATTTGTTCAAATTGAATATATCAAACTCTTATCCTGTTTAAGGCAGTTAGCTTCACGGGATTAGATCTATTCTGTTATCACACAAGGCTAAGCAGGCACAGTTAGAGCGAGTGGTGAATGAGTACTAGGAATCTATTGCTATTCCTAGAAAAAGAATTCAACAATTTTTTTTCTATTGGTATTGTATTCGTCTCAATATATGTTAAGGGTTGGAAATATGGTGTCCCCACCAAGGTCCTGTTAAGGCAGAAATATTCAGAGGTTAAATGATTAGATTATGAAAACTATAAAATAACAAACTATCCTATTCTGAATGGAGTGACTGGGTGATAGACTGTAAGCAGGGGTCATGGCTGAATGGCTGGAGGAAGTGGGTCATTGGATTGTGCCCTGGAAGAGTTAGTCTTCTTGTTGCCCCTTCCTCTTCATTCTCCCCAACCCCCAACTTCCTTTCTGCTATAAGGGGAATAGCTTTCCCATGCTGGATACAACCTCCATGATGTACTGACTCATCATGGGCCCAGAGCAAAGGAATCTACCACCTATGGACTGAGACCTCTGAAACAGTGAACCACAAATAAACTTTTTCTTCTCTAAGTTGTTCTGATAGGGTATTTGGTCACAATGACCCAAAAGCTAACTAAAGCAATATATGTATGCATAAAAGATGAGAAATTATGAGCTTCTTATTGTTTTATGCATATTTAGAAAATTTAAGAACTCTATTAACACAATGCTGATTCTATTTTCATAGTTTTGCTAGCTATTTATTAAAACTATGAGAATCACTTATAATAAATGATGAATTGAAAACACCCAGTAAAATAGATTTTTAAAAAAATCTCATTTCACTATTTAATTATGTAAAGAGGTTATAGAAATATGAATGATTCATTACACAGAGAAATAAAAATAGAGACAATTATTAATAATTCATTATGAAGAATCATGCTTCAGACTTTGAACAAAATGAGAATGAAATAACTGCTAGAGAAAAATTTTAGTCAACAATGTAATAACATTCTCACCCACATGGCTAAGAGTAATTCATACAACAAAATTAAAGGAAATGACATTCTACCCAGAGCACTAATTAGGAATAAAGGACTTATTCTCTTGGCTTTTGGAAGTAGTAGACAGCCCTAAGTAGTCTGTGCTCTCTGGAGCAGCTTTTGGGGAGCTCATATCCAAAATTCAGGACAACTCTGCGGGTCATTCCACTTTTCAGAGCTCCCCTGGAATTGAAGTTTTGTGCACTGACTCAATCAAAGTCCAACTCTGTCTGCTTCCTTCCATTCCTGCCCACTGGTGTTGATTATAAGGAAATATCTGAAAATGAAACTTTTACATATGAATCTCAGTTTTAGAACCTGTTTCCCAAGGAACCCAAACAATGACACTTGGTATCAATGATCTAAGGAAGAAGGCACCAAGATAAGATTTTAAATCACATGTAACAAGAAACTGGCAATAAGGATTCCTTCACTGGGCTGCTTCCAGTGGTACTTGCCTCTACAGGGCCTGAGAATAGGTCTACTCTGGTCCTTACTCCAGAGCCCCTGCTAACCCCCCATATCCACCAGAGGCCTCCAGTGTAAGTTGCATTCACCCGAGTGGAGCCTCAGGACATGTCTATCATGTACTACAACACCACAGACATTACTGCTGCTGCTAGAAGCCCCTACAACCAGTGGTACTTGCTCCTATAAGTTCTATGGACACATCTCCCCATCTCCATGCTCCTGATGCCTCTGCTATAGGAGTTCCCATGCAGTGGGTGCCCCAGTTTGCACCACACTTACATGGGACACTAAAGTGCCCCTACTCCTATTGCAGCCCTTAGGCAGAGGCAGGCTCTCTGACCCTGGTAAGCATCCTGACTAAAACCATCAATTACAGTTGAACAAGCTATAGAGAGACTAATACTATGGTGCCTAGTTAGGAATCAAGCCAAAGCTGCCCAACAAACTAACACCCTAATACACATTTTAAAGAGAAAATTTTCTACTGTGAAAACTGCCTTATTAAGTTGGTAAAGACAACTGATTTGGCAGATGGACAAATATCATTGAAATGAAAGAAACAGTATAAAAACATAAGTTCATTCACCAAGATCAAGTGGGATTTATCCCAGGAATGCAAGGATGTGTCTATATGTATGTCAAGAAACTAAAATATCACACCAACAGAATGAAGGACAAAAATCTCAAGAGATGCAGAAAAAACATTTCATAAAATTCAAGAATGCTTCATAATGAAATTCTGAACAAATTAGGTATAGAGGAATCTACTTTAACATAATAATGGCTGTATAAAACAAACCACATTCAACATAAAAGCAAACAGGGAAAAGCTGAAAGCATTTTATTTAAGATACAAAACAAGACAAGGATGTTCACTTTTACCATTCTTATTCAATATACTGTTGAAAGTATTAGAGTAATTAAGCAGGAGACCTAAATAAAAGGCACATATAAATGTATGCACACACTTGTGTGGGTGCGTGCGTGTGTGTATAGAGAGAGAGCAAAATTACCAGATAAAAAAACCCCAAACACTAAAATCAGTAGCTTGCCTTTTTACACATCAATAACAAACTTGC